ATTTCCCCCTTCCTCACAACAACCCCGCCAGGTTGATTAGGCTGAGTGAGATTGACTCCAGGTTTCCTGGTGAGCTTCATGAATGAAGGGGATTTGAACTCCGGCCTCTCAGGCCTGACTGACACTCTGACTGCGGGGCTGCCAACATACCCATCGTGCTCCTAGCGAGAGATGCCATTTTGAACAGGGGAAGCAAGAGAGTCAAAATAATCTGGAGGGAGCAGACCAGATCTCTAGGGTCTGTTTCCCCCACTCACCCAGACAGGCAAACCCAGCTGCAGAAGAGGCCAGCCCAGCCGCTGTGGGAAAGTTGTTTTCTGAGGCAATGTGGACCTTGTAGGCAAGGCTGAGGGCAGAGTGGCTGCTGCTGTCACCGCTGTCACCGTTACCGCTGTGCCGCTTCCTCGCTAGACGGCGTACTGGAGGAGTGAGAGAGAGAGAAAATGGAGGATAGCAAAGAACGTGATGGAAGCCAGGCAGAAGATACTCGCAGTCAAGGAAATGTGACAGACACACAAAAGGCCCCTATTTACATTGGCACCCCACTGGCTTCTGCAGATGCCCCTGTTCATGCAGCCATTCCCTTGATGTAGATCAGAGTCTCTTGCTTTAATTACTGTTCTGTTTTAATGAGATAGTTTTATTGCATATTTTAATTATGGATGCTCACACTTTAATCGGACTGATCTGCTGTGTATTTAATTGATGGGTGTTTACATTTTAACGTTTTATGATTGGCTTTTTTTACTCATAAAACCACTTAAAATCCTAGTTTGGCCTTAAGAGGTATATAACTTATTATTATTTATAATAGGATTAACTGCCACTTGGTGGAAATACCAAGCAGGGAGAGTGCTGTTGCACCCTGTCTTGCTTATGGTCTTTCTGGGGGCATCTGGTTGAACACAGAGAGAACAGGACGCTGGATTTGATTAACCTTTTTCTGCCATGCTCTTTTTGTGTTCTTATGGAAGCTCACTTCCGACAGCAGGTGGGGTCTCATGAGGGAAAATGCTCCATAAGATAATACTACGTTCATTTTCTGTGTGGAGGGAATTGACTCAGTGTAAAACAGCTTCCTGTACTCCTGTAATTTGTGGCTGTACCTCACCAGTGTCCCAGATATGAGCCCTGTATAAAACTGAATAGGAATAATTGTATATTTTTGTGTGTGCTTTGCAGTGGATCCCAGAACCATGGTAACAGCAGAGAGGCTGGCCAATGCCCTCCCTAGTGAGGTGTGCCTGTCCCCATCATTATCTACTTTCAGCAGCCAATTTGAAAACATCCCTGTTTGCCCACATATTTGGTGGCTAAAGAATACCGTGCCTTGGCAACCCCAAGATCACTGGACAGAATAATAACATTTTTAGCTGCAACGGTTTTTAGGGAAAAAAAACTTTTTAATGATATTTCAGATGAATTCAAACTCCGTGCCTGGTGTCAGTTCTTGCAGCTGCATCACATAACTTAAAACAGACCTGAACCATTTCCCTGGCATTTGCTACACAGATGTGCCTAAGCCTTCCTTCCCTCAATCTAAACCCACAACTTCTTACTCTGCCCTCAGGATAAAGAGCAACAGCACAGTTCTCCCAACCTTCCATCAGAAAACAGTCAAGGGGAAAAAAATTATTCCATGGTCGACCCCTCCCCAAGTGGAATATACAGGTTGTATTCAACCAACCATTACTCAGAGTGGACCCACTGCAATTAATGGAGCCAAGTTAACCATGACTATTAATTTCAATGACACTATCGTGGTGATGACTAAAATTAAATGCAACCCTAAGAATCCAGATTTGACAAAAGAGGTCTATGCTTCTGTGTGCTGCCTTCTACTCACTCTCTCGCAGGCATGACTGGAGGCGTGGCTGACCAATATCAGCCTCCTTCCCATTGAGCCAGAGGCGGTCCTCAGTGAAGTCCCGGCTGGTGGCAGCTGTTGTGGTGGTTTTCAGCTGTAACAGAACCACAAGTTAGAAGCTCGCAAGCCATGAGCAGTTAACCTGTCGCCCTCCAGCTCCCGTTGGACTCCACTTCCCACCACCCTTGGCCATCAGCCATGCTGGCTGGGGCTGATGGGAGCTGGAGTGCAACATCCACTGTAGAGCTGCAGGTTAGCCACCCCCATCATAAATGAACAACCACCTGGGGCCATCTAAGCAGACCTCTACCTTGCAGTCCTATGCCCGTTTGCTCAGAAGTAGGTTCCACTTTGCCCAATGGAAATTGCCCCCAAGCATACATGCTTACCTGGCAGTAAACCCCACTGAGCATAGTAGGCTAGGCACAACATGCTATAGCCAGCAGGATGAGGGGCCACACCCATATTTACAATCTTAAAAAGTAGTAAAAACATTGATCAAATAACTTTAAAAAGCACACCAGGCAGACACCTTGTGTTTTCATACACAAGGCATTGGTCTCAAATTCCCCCATCCCCTCATCTGACCACCACATGCTTCACCTCTTTGGAGAAGAGCCTCTGCATGACCCCAATACCTAGGCAGGTTAAGAGGGAAATAAAATGTTAGCTGCAGATTCCAGGCTAGAAAGAACTACCAATGTCACTTGTTGGGAAGGAAGGAACCTGTGTTTTTCCTAAACCTTAAGAGGTTTATGCATCTACATGGTGGTAACATTGCCCCAAATCACAGAGTTAGTTTCTACCACCCTCCTGATGCTACCATTCTTCTTTCAAAAAAACAGAATCCTAACTTGCAAGTTTGGCTTCATAATCATGACATCCCTTCCAAGACCACCAGTAGATCCAGATTTTTTTAAGAGCATCTACACTGAGTTTGATTTCTCTCTGTGTGACTGTATCGCCCTCAGTAAGGTTAATCATGGTTTAGTGACTAACAATCGCTCACTTGTAACCCTCAGTTTCGCAAACAAAAAGGGACATTTATGACGATCTGGTACTAACCTGATCTTGGTGCAGGGTGACGCTGAGGGAAGAATTAATAGGCAAGATCAGCTCTTCATCACGCTTCCCCCCTGGGTAAAGGAGGACATTGTTTGAAAATGAGTGAACTCAGAAGCACTTCACCATACTCTACAGTCAGTTTCCTGGGTGGTCAGTGTCTCAATAGCATCATTAACCTTGGGAGATGACAGAACTAGTCCAACCTGATCTTTCTCATGTCAATAGATGGAACTACATTATAACAGCAAGGTAAACCTATTATTTTCTGGTGCAATCTTCCTCCTCCTCCTGGCTTTCGGCTTGACAGAACTAGATTTACCAACTAACAAATCCTGAGTTCTTTTGGGTATGCATAGAGTAACCCACCAGTCTTCTAAGGGACAAGGCCAATCATTTTTTAAATTTATAACTGGCTTTTACAAAATTAGTTGTTTTATTTACAATATTCTAAATGCAATTCACTTTTCACATTGGAAAAATGTGTTTATAGCTCTAATCCACTTCATCTTTGTTTACTTGGTATGGAATTTCACAACTCAGGAGTAACTGCCTAAGATGCTTTTCCAAATGCCTTCACTGTCAGTATTTGGCATACAGAATGCACTCTTTCCTTGATGATCCACTTTTAATTTAAAGTTTCTTTAGTACAATGGAAATTATGACACATCATGCAGAACCCTCAATTACTTTTGATGGAATACCAGCAAACCCTCACATTTCGAGTGCACATGCTGCTGCTTCTTTGGAGATCACTCACAGCCGAGTAAGATTGTCTTCCATAAACACGGTTTTAACAATGAGTCCGTAAGCAACTATGGAGGCTAATTCTGGATCTACACATCCTTCCACAGCGGGGACATTGGTTCCTGGGTGGGAGTTGATCAGGGTGTGGATTTGCCAAGCGTGCCTTCCTCTTAGCACATTTCTCCCTTGCGTCCTGAGTTTGAGTGCCTTCAAAGCCCATGACACCTTTGGTAAAGGCTGTTCTCCAACTAGAGCGCTTGCAGGCCAGTGTTTCCCAGTTGTCGGTGTTAGAATCAATCCTTTAAAAGCTAACTTTCAATGCAGCAAAATGTTGTTCCATTTCCTGATACTCTTGCATTTTTAGGGATACTTTAAGAAGGGAGAAGGGAAACTCACACTTCACCAAAGGCACAAGAAAAAGTTGAGCTTGCTGGAGCAAAAACATATAGAAGATTGCAGCCTTTAAAATGAACACACACACACACACTTTCCTCTATGACAATGTTTGGGAATCCGCAGCCCTCCAGATGTTGTTGCCCTCCAGATGTTGTTGGACTCTCAACTCCCAACAGCCCCAGCCAGGGTGGTAAATGGTGAAGGAATCAGGAGAGTTGGGAGCCCAGCAAATATCCTGAGGGCCACAGGTTTTACGTCCCTGGCCTATTAACTCTTCTTCCTCCCCACGCTCCTGGTTCACAAATTTGAAAGCCAGTCTTGAGATCCGAGGAGCAGCCGCTAAGGTTTGCAACAGCAGCAACAACAACACTAGAAAAATGGGAGGTGAAATGGGAGATGAAATGAGGTACTCACAGTATTTTATCACCGCGATGTTAACAGGGGCTGTGCAGGTCACGACGGACAAGGGTTTATCTTCAGCCATGGTGATGACAGACGAGAAGGGGGCGCTGCTATAGTTGAGGAGGAGGAGAGAGGGGCAAAGGGTGGATCAAGTAAGAAAGGGGCACAACTTCAGATCCTGAAAAAAATGCCAGGAGCCAACCCAACGGCTTAGTCGAATCCTAGCTTGCTTGCGCTGTTTTCTCTACCCCAGCTACCCAGTGGCACTGACCACACGGGCGACAGGAAAGCAGATCCAAGATTGCAAGCCTCCCTCCAACACTCCCACATGTGCCTGCAAGGAGAAAAAGGAATGCCACGCCCTGCACAGCTGCCTTCTCTGGTATTGGCCAATGAAGCACCAGCTGCTGCAAGCCTGCCCAATCAGGGTCGGTCTCATCTCCTCCTGTTGCAATTTTTATCCAATGAGAGCGCGTCGGAAGATGGGGCTCCTCTCTCTCCTCATTCAGAACCCTGATCAGAAAGGCGGAACCCTCGAGGCGCCTTTTAAGGGGGAAATGTTTTCAGTACGGACGTTTTCTGCACCGCGCGAGCAGGCGCTGGGTGCGCCTGCGCAGTACCTTGATGCGAGTCTATAACTCTAAGGACACAGTAGGCTGCTCAGACCCGGCTTTCCATTCCGTTTGGGGGAATACGGGCGCAGCCATAATTCATTTGTGCACCAGGTCCTTTCTGGTTTTTCAGAGTTCTTGTTGCAATAGTACCTTAGAAAAAATGGGAGCAAGTAAAGCAATATCTTTAATTTAGACCAAGTAGATTTTTTTCGTGGTGGAAGCAAATTTTTGAATCACACAGGGCTCTTTTCAAGTTGGGTCTTCGGTAAAGAAAACTGTAGCTATATTCTCCGAAAGAACACGGTGATGATATTGCCCACATTAGGGCAGTGTTACAAAAGAGTGTGCAAAATTTCAAGTTCTCCAGAACTCTTCAGTAGGCTACGGTGAAAATGTAGACAGTGACACCTTGTGGGTTGACCACAGCAGTTCACAAACTGCAGGATTTAGACTGCAATTGTGTGTGTGACTCATAACCTCAGAGTAAAAGTTATCCATTCCATCTGAAGTTTTCACTCCAATCTCACCCTCTGGAGTTTGGTTTCCTCTATAGGCTAATAGGGTGAGCTGAAAGTTGCCCTGAAAAAACTTTGCAGTTCATGGGAAGTTGGGAACCTTCCCCATTTTGGCTGAGGCTGCTAGGAATTTTAGTCGAAAACATCTGGAAGGCATCAGACTGGGTGAGGATGAGGTAAGTTGCTATGACTAGCAAAGTGTGTAATGCATTGGTTGCACTACCACCACAATAACAACACTGGGATGAAAGGGGTAAAATGAGCTTTTTAGGAGGGTGGCTTTATCCCATATGTTAAATTTATGAAAAAGAAATAACTATATATTTCACATTAACACTCCCATCCTAAATATATTTTCTCTGAAGCAAGTCCTGGTTTGATGGAGCTCATTTTCAAGTGAGTGTGCTTAAGATTGTTAATTTCCAATACCTTTTTCTTCAAGGAAAGTAATCATAGGGAGTGAGTGAAACTACTTGTTCATGGCATGGCTGGCCCTTCCCCTCTGCCATTGCCTCTGTGTGCATTTTAATTACATGGTGGATAAGGGACTGTGTCTCAACTTGGCTCTTTAACGTTTTCTGGAACATGATTATTTAAGAAATTTATATACTTATTAACCATTCTTATGATTAGCACTGTGCAAGCACATCCAAGTATCCAAGACTGCTCCTGTTTTTATTTAATCACAGGAAAGAATGCAGGAAATCTGCCTTATAGTGAGACAGACTGTTGATTCATCTAGCTCAGCAATGTCAGTCCTACCTGGAGATACTGGGGATTGAAACTAAGACCTTCTGCATACAAAGCAGGTGTTATTTCACTGAGCCACAGGTATTCACCAGCCTTTTGATTTGGGGTGTTTCACATTGAATTTGTGACATGCCACATTCATCTGCAAGTGAGTTATCTTTCCTTTGTGGGGGTGGAGTTTGAATAAATTATATAATTTGATATCACAGGATATATTTAACCAGTAACGGTTAAATATAATCCAGTTTCCATCTTGTGACAAAATGCAGACACCAGCCATGGTGCCAACATCAGCCAATTTCCTTGCCCACTACTCCTGGTTTTGCTTACCGGTACTTTCTAGCAACTGGGCATCATCCTCTAATAAAGACACTAGAGGGAGCTCAAAGGCTGCACACACCACAAGGTGCTCTTACTTCATGAGGGACTTTTATATGGCAGTGCCTTCACCAAATCATTACACTTGAGGAACAGCCACACTATGTGTTTAAAGCAGAACTATACAACTTCATTAGCCATGGCTTCCCCCAAACAATCCTGCTAGCTGTCATCTGTTAGGAGACCCCTGCTCCCCTCACAGAGCTTTGATTCCCTGGGTGGTATAACAGTCAATTTTTCTTCACAGGGAACTCTGGAAATTGTAGCTCTATGAGGGTCTAGGGATCTCCTAACAGCTCTAAGCACCCTTAACAAACTACAGTTCCCATCCTCCCCCCCTCCATCTCTCCCTCTCCAGTGCTAGTGAGTACTCTGAGGGATGGCAACTCAAGTAGGCAGGAAGGTTTCCCTTCTGTGTGTCTAACTCGCCCTGCTCCAGCTACCCCAAGCATCCTTCTACTGAACCACTTTTCTTTCCCTCTCCTTTCCCTAATCCAATGGTTCTTAAAGGGTGTAGTGTGCCACACTGGTGTGGCAGGCGAGACTGGCACATGTAGCGAGAAGATTCAAGGACATTGTTTTATACTTTCTGGACGTCTCATGATCATATTATAAAGTAGTTGTTTTCTATCTTCAAGCAATGCTAGGAATTGTTTCTTTTTGTTTTCCAAGGTGTTTCTTGAAAGTTGTTAGGAAGCCCCTATGGCCTTCAAAGAACTACAATTCCCAGCATTCCCTGAGAAGAGGGATTGATTGTTAAGCCACTCTGAGAACTGCAGATCTGTGTAGGGGTCTCCTAAGGACTCTCAGTGCTCATAAAAAACCATGGTTTCCAGGATTCTTAGGGGGAAGCCATGACTTTTTAAAGTGATATGATCCTGTTTAAAATGTATGGTGCAGATGTGACCTGAATATGTGAATGGAGGCAGGGACAGTCAAAGATGTTTTGCCACTGTAGATAAAATGCTCTAATGATGCCCCCCATGCAGATCTGGGTCCCCTCTCCAGCCCCTCTCTGCCCCCCCACCTGTGCAACTGTACCTTACTCTGCACCTGTCCTGCCACCATGATACAGTGTGCAGGGCGCAGTGGGCGCAGCAGGGAGAATGGCACGGGGTCAGCAGCACAGGAAGCCACAAAGGTGCTGGCGGCAGAGCAGTGGTGGAGACTGGGGACAGATCTAATGCCTGGTGCGAATGGCTTCACCTCGCCCCATCACCTCATGCCCCTGAATGGAGGACATCGTGTCCAGTGCTGTGTTTCAACTGTGCTACCTCATTTCTAACCTCATGCGAGTCACTGCTCAACATTGCTGTCACTAAGAGATGAGCATGTGTGTGTGACTCATAACCCCAGCTTCCATGGAGCTGGTACACAAACCAAATCTAATCAGGTACAAGCTGGCAGATAGTTCCTTTACCCACTTCTGATGCAGCGAGGTGGGAATTGGTGATCTGCCACATGATGCATCACAGATTGGATAGGTCAACTGTGATCTAAGGCCCTGCTCATGCTGGCCCTGCTCATACCCACTCAGGGTAGCCTTCAGCAACCTGATGCCCTCCTGATGTTTTGGATCACAAGATTAGAACATAAGAAGAACCTGGTGGATCGGTCCAATGGCCTATCTAGTCCAGCATCCTGTTCTCACATTGGCCAACCAGATGCCTTGGTGGTAACCCCCCAAGCAGGACCCAAGCACAAGAGCACTCTCCTCTTTTGTGGTTTCCAGCATCTTGTATTCAGAAGCATTGCTGCCTCCAACTGTGGAGGAAGAAGAAAGCCATTATGGCTAGGCCCCTTCCTCCGTGAATCTGTCAGATTCTCTTTTAAAGCCGTCCAAGTTGGAGGCCATCCACTGCCCCTGCGTGAGAGAGTTCCAAAGGTGCTACCTTAAGGACTTCCTTTTCTCACTCCTGAATCTGTGCTGGCTGAGACTGATGGGAGTTGTTGTTCAAAACATCTGACAGGATTGGCGAAGGCTGCCTCAGGGTACTAGCATGGCCATCCTGCTCTGTCCACGAGAGGAGCTGGCACCTACCTCTCCACAGAAAAGTTCAGGGCACAGTGATCTGCTCTCAATTCCACCTAGCTCAGATCTCCCTGGACCCGTCTGGTGGGCTTGTTTTGCCACCTGCCAAGCATCCAAAGTGTCCACAGACCTCTGGATGTGTCCGCGGTCAGTTCCATGAAGGCCTGCCAGCAGGTTATAGATAGACAGCGGAGGCCCGGCCAGCAGGGTATAGATAGAAACACAGCCTCTATTTTTGCCCTTCTTGGTGCAGGTGCCAGAGGAACTGGCCTGCCCAGAGTCAGGATTATTTATAGGGGCTGGTATTTAGGGGGACAGTGCTGCTTTTCCATTTTGCCGTGGGAGAAAGAAAACTGAGATGGGAGAGAGGCGTGGTTGTCGTGGTCCTATAACCAATGCCTCCTCTCTCGTATCCAGCATCGGATCACACTAGGTCACTTGACGGCAGCTTGTAAAACCTTCTGATTGTAAAACTAGACTGAAAAACAAGGTCATCTCTTTCCAGACCTCTCCCGACCGCGCCATGATCCTGTCATTCCTGAATGAATGTCAGGGAACTGAGGGTTCACGGAGCCCTAGTGATGTGGTTACAAAAACCACACAAAAATGGTTCACATGAGCATGTGCAGAGTTCCTTTACACAACTCATTTAGGAATAGGAGTGGGAAGGAGGTTGTCTCCCAAGTAGGCTTGGGTTCTTCATGTCTTATTGTAGAATGGAATCACATAATCCTGTAGGAGATGACAGTTGCTGCAAAGTACCTCAGAAATATTTGCAAAATCATCTGCTTTAATACTGGGGGAAGATTGGTTTCCATCTTCTGGCCCACCCCTCTTAAGTGGAAGACCATGCCAAGCTCCACACACACACAGGATAGCAATGGCCTGACTACAGATAATTCATCCCATAAACAACAAATCATTTTGAACAGTGCAGTATTTTACAAAACAGCAGTGATTTATATTGGGCAAACCTAAATTAATTCTCTTAAGTGGTAGTGAGGAAGGACATGTGGCTGGTAGGTGTGTGACTTCCATCGCTCTCGCTGTTCCACTCCATCCTCATCCTTTGCAAGGTTCTGGGGTACCTCTGGGTCTCAACCTGGGACTTCACTCAAAATGGCAAGGAAATGGCAGAATAACTTTCCAACAGTTAAGAGCTGTTTGACAGTGGAACAGACTCCCACAAGAAGTGGTGGCCTCTCCTTCCTTGCAAGCTTTTAAGTAGTGGTTGGATGGGCATCTGCCATGGATGCTGTAGTTGAGATTCCTGCCTTGCAGGGGGTTGGACTGAATGACCCTTCCAATTATATGACGGTTGTGCCATGGGTTCATTACCTAGGTGCGTTTAGGAGGCCCTGTGAGGATAACATTTTGAGAAACAGTGTGATGTAAGGTTAGAGTGTTAGACTACAACCTAAGAGACCAGGGTTCGAATCCCCACTCAGTCATGAAGCTCCCTGGGTGTGGCCTTGGGCCAGTCTCCATCTCTCAGCCTAACCTGCCCTCACAGGGTTGTGAAGATGAAAAGGGGAGGAAAAGAACCATGTAGTGAGCTCCTTGGAGGGTAAGGTGGGATATAAGTAAAACGAGCAATAATGCAGAAAAATAGCTGCCATTTCTTTGCTTTGTCTTGACTGTGTGTGTTTATGGGGTGGCTAAAACAGTTTCCCTCTTGACCCGAGGAGGCCCCAGCCCTGTCAGAAAAGCTAGTGGACAAAAGAGCAGGCGAGAGCATCAGGTACACTTTCCAGTTCAATGCAGCCAGGGACGAGTGGAAAAACTCATCCATTCATTCCAGCTCAATACTCCCTCCTCTGGCCCAGCTCAGCGGATTGGTGGCTGGCCGGCTGGCCGTCTGCCTGGACCCCCCACCAGCCCGGCAGCCCTGCACTATATTTATCAGCACTTTCCATCTGCCACATGAAGAAGAGAGGAAACATTTGAGCTTATTTTAGACCCCACAACATTCTTTCCTGCTCTGGCCCTCGGACGGACAGGTGGAACGACCGTATTTAGCCACTTGGGGGCTGAAAATAGAAGGGCCCGTTTACAACGCAGTTTCCTTTAGGCAACTCCGCACCCTATTTACGTACTCTGGCGAAGGAGAATGTTGTCCTCGTCCCCATTGCCCAAATTATAAATATTAACGTGGCTTTGCCAGGCTGACATCATTGCTCCTGCGAGCCTCTCCTTCCTCTTAATAGCCCATTCTTGGGAGAGAGAAAGAGAAAGAGATGCTCAAATAGAAAAGGAAAGACGCAGACCACTGGGAAGACATGAGCAATGGATGCGAGGATGCATGAAAGAATGAACTTTGCCTGGGAACACAGAAAGTTGCCTTATACAGACTCGGACCACTGGCCCAACTAGCTCAGTATTGTCTACACTGACAGGCAGCTGCTCTCCAAGGCTTTGGAAAGCTGGATGATGTGTGGATGGTCCAGTATAAGCCATTGATCAATGCATCAATGACATATTGCAAAAAACAACACCAACAGTCTGGAGGGGTCCAGAGTTGATTCTTTCAACAATGTGGATGCTAAAGCCGTAGAAGGCTTGGGCATTTATTAGTCTCATGAGAATAGGGGTGTAGCAAGTCATGTCCCCTTTCTCATTGGTGAAATAGTGGAAGGTGTAAGAAGAGCATTCCTGATTAGCAGCACAATAATAAGGAACACATTCAATGAAAAATGGTGTCACTGAAATTATTTGGAATAGTTTTATTGGGCTTTCTTGGGGAGGTGGGGGGTGTCATGAGGCGCTCTCCAAACCCAAAGGAACAACAAAAAATGTACAGAAAACAGAGAGAAACAGCAGCATTTTTTTTTACTTTTAGCAATGCCAAGTCACTGTTCTGTAGCTCCCCTCCTCCCAACCCCACCCCAAAGGTTCAAGGAAGGTGAATCTCTATGAAGCTAATCCAGAATTCTTTGCTCTGCCTCCTTGGGAGCAGGGGATATTCTCTTTTTACCGCAGTTAGGAAGCGTGGTACAGGCCTTGCTTTTGGTAATGTACACATGAACACAAGGGACAAAGGGACACCCTTGCTACTGTCTCCCCTGTTGCATCACCCCTTCAACAGCAGGCAGAACATAAGAAGAGCCTGCTGGATCAGGCCAGTGGCCCATCTAGGTCAGCATCCTGTCCTCACAGTGGCCAACCAGATGTCTGTGGGAAGCAAGACCTGAGCTCAAGAGAGCACTTCCCTTCCTGTGGTTTCCAGCAACTGGTATTCAGAAGCAACACTGCCTCCAGCTGTGCAGTTTAAACAGGAGGTTAAAGTGCATTAAGGAGTTATTAAGCTGAGGGGAAAGCAGTAAGAGAATGGGGTTTGCAGAGATAAAAGGAATGAAGTGTAGCCAATCATGTTTTACTCAGCGCTGACCCACTGAAAGTAACAAATCTAGTGTAGTCATGCCCATTAATTTAAATGAGTCTACCCAGTATGATCAATACTGGATACAACCCAGTAGCTTGGAAAACAACAACCAACAAATTTCCTCACGGGAACAGATTTAAATGGGTGGTGTTGAGGATCTGCCAAGCCCAGGTGGATTATTCTTTACAAAAGCTTCAGTGTTCGTGGAAACCCACTCAAGCTTAAAAGGGAAAGCTGGGCAGAGGAAGGAAGAGGAGCTGTAAATTGCGGCAGCTGAAGGTCACTCCAGGCCTCCGTACTCCCAGGAAACACTGATTGGTATGACGTCCCTGGAAACAGACCTTGGATCAGATGAGCAGGAGTCACAGCAGCTCTCCCACCACAGGCGCTTGAGAAGGCCATCACTATTTGGCCATTGCAGCTGGGGAGGCCCAGTCTGGAATCATTCCCTGCTCTCTTTTGGAAATTTGGGAGACCAGAAGGCAAGCTTCTGGAAACGGGAAGGTCCTCACAAAGCAACTGCGGTGGGGAGCTGGAAGAATGCAGGACACCCCGATAACAGTCATCCAAGAATGGGGAGCTTTCATGCAAAAGACCCAAAGGTGGACTCAGGCAGAGGATCTCTTGTCCTGGGTTTTCTCCTGACACCATCCCAGAGAGCAATGCAGAAATTGAGAGGCCACCTCAACTCCCTAGTGACCAAGCAGGCTAGCAGCTAAGGGGATGCACCACCAGCATGCAAATGACACCATTTGGATGGATCAACGACAGCACAATAGGAGGCAGAGACACATTTGCAGAAGAACTCCAGGGGATTTAACACCAGCCTAATATGGAGGCCCCTTTGCTGTTTTTTTCAAAACACACAAGAGGAATGGGGCCATATACCTTTCTGTTTCCTAAACTGAGATGCACCTAGATCTTGCTGCAACCAAGAGGTCGAGCCACACACTCTTTGGAGTGGTGGGTACCACCCAGTTGCAGAATCTGAATCAGAAGAAGAAGAAAACACACCCAACTTCTGCTGCAGGACGCGACTCCAGGCTCCACTGCTGCAGATCTTCAGTTGTCCGGGGCTCTCCTCCTAACCTCCACAAGTGGTCTCAGGTTACGTTTTCCAGGTAGCCAGCCAAGCTCAGCATGGCTCTCAGGTTGCAGCAGGGCAGCAGGCCGTCTCCTCATGCCTCAGGAGCAGGGACATCCGGGAGAAGGTCTTCAGGCAGGTGTGGCACTGGTATTTCTTGATGTCGGAATGGGTCTGCAGGTGGGCGCGGAGGTTGGAGCGGTCGGCAAAGGCTCGGCTGCAGTGCGAACAGGCGTAGGGCTTTTCACCTGGAAAGGGAGGCCAGAAAGAAAGACAGATGAGCAGGCAATGCCAGGGCTGTTGTAAGACCTTGAACCTGGTTTGGTAGTAGATGGGCAGCCAGTGAAGATGCTGTAGCAACAGTCACATGTTGTCATCTAGATACCCCACCTGGCCAGCACATTCTGCACCAGAGCTGGAGCTTCCAAACCAGGTCCAAGCCCCCCCCCCAGTACATTGCAGTAGTCCAGCCTCAAGGTTACCAACACTTGGGCTGCAGGCTATCCCTGTCCAGAAACTGCAACAGCTGGTGAACCAGATAAAGCACTCCTAGCCACAGAGGACACGTTGACCTCAAGTGATAAAGATGTATCCAGCAGTACCCTCAAGCTATGTAGTTGCTCCATCATAAGGAGTGCAACTCCATCCAGAACAGGTAACCTGCCTATCTCCTGAATGTGGGAACCACCCTCCCTATCTTCCCAGGATTCAAGCAGTTTATTGGCCCTCATTCGTTCCACCACTACGTTCAGAAACTAATTCAGAACTTTCACAGTCTCTCCCAATTCCAATGTTATGGTGAAGTAGTGCTGCATGCCATCAGTGCACTGGTGACACCTCGCTCCAGAATGCCAAATGATCACCTGTGACAGCTTCATATAGATGCTAAATAGCACTTGGGAGAGGACAGTTCCCTGCAAAACTCCCTGCAAAAATAGCACAAGTGCCAGGGGGCCAAGGGGCACTCCCCCAGTGCTACTCTAGGAATATGGCCTGAACATTTATTTATTTATTACATTTATATGCCATCTTTTCCTCCAAGGATTTCAAGGTGATGTACATGGTTCTCCCCTCCCCATTCTGTCCTCACGTCCTATGAGGTAACTTAGGTGAGAGACAAGAAACTGGCCCAGCCAGCTTCATGGCTGAGTGGGGATTCAAACTCTGATCTCCCAGGTCCATTACACCACACTGGCTGTACCCAAGGATGGAGAACCTGTGGCCCTCCCATCATTTTATTTATTTAGACCATGGGTAGACAAACTAAGGCCCAGGGGCCAGATCCGGCCCAGTCACCTTCTAAATCCGGCCTGTGGACGGTCCAGGAATCAGCATGTTTTTACATGAGTAGAATGTGTCCTTTTATTTAAAATGCATCTCTGGGTTATTTGTGGGGCATAGGAATTCGTTCACCCCCCCCCATAAAATATAGTCAAGCCCCCCACAAGATCTGAGGGACAGTAGACCGGCCCCCTGCTGAAAAAGTTTGCTGGCCCCTGATTTAGACTATTTCTATACCACTTTAGTACAGGAAACTAGAGCAGTAAATGTTACAAAAATACACAATATAACTATCATCTATCATCTATCTATCTATCTATCTATCTATCTATCTATCTATCTATCTATCTATCTATTATCATCTATCTATCTCTCCCCCTCTCCTTTTTCCTTCTGGCACAATCAACCTCGCAGCCTCCTGGCTCTCACCTGGGACTCCACCCTCCCACCCTGGCTCTTACCAAGGGCTCAAACAAACTCACAGGTCGCTCCCCTCCAAAATCGGACAACCAAGAGGGTTCCTGGAACCTGCTGACCTCACCCTCATGTCTCACCCTTGGTTTGCATCTATGGGCTTGATAGAGCTTCCTCAGACTGCCTCTCATTCAGCACTCAATCAGCTGCATGGCTCATATCCAGCCCCAAGGCTTAGCAGCCTTTGTGAGTTTTCCAGAGGTCCTAAGGATGGCAGCTAGGGTATCCCCTTCCACTAACTGTTCTTTCTCAGGCCACTGCACAGCTCTCCTGTTCCATCATCCCCAACCATTGGCCATGATGGCTGGGGCTGATGGGAGTTGGAGTCTAACAATATCTGGAAGCCACTGGGCCTCCCATTCCTAATATAAAACAAAGATGGGCTTGACACAGTGACTTTCTCTCTCAGTGGGCATCCCTGCACTACAAACTTTATTTTATTATAAATTTTTGATAGAAAACACATTGCTAAACTGCTTACTATTTAAGAACCCCCAAACAGCTTACAAAAACCCAGACATAAAAACAGAGATTAAAAAAAACAAATGAAGCAGAAATCTAGTAATAGCAGGGGTCCAATCTCACGGGGCGAGGAAAAGTCTTTACATATTTATTTTTACAATTATGTTCCACCTTCCTTCATCCAGTGAGCTCAGGTTGACATATAAAGTTCTCCTTTTCCTCTTCATTTTATCCTCAAAAGAACCACCCTGTGAGGCAACTTAGGCTGAGAGACAGTGACTGGCCCAAGGTCACCCAGTGAGCTTCATAGCTGAGTGGGGATTTGAACCCTGGTCTCCCAGGTCTTAGCCCAGCACTCTAACCACTACACCACACTGGCTCACAGCTGTTCAGTCGTAGCTTGTGCCGTGAACAACTTCAGTGGCAATGCCCTACACTGGAGTTATTCATGCAAGTCTGACGCAGTATTTACATAAAAACATCTGACGGGCTCAGCTGGATTGGAATGAGGTTCCCTCCAGCATAACAGTTCTCAGCTGCTCTTGGGTGACCTTTCCCCTTTATACACTTCTGCCCAGTGAATCATAAAAAGTGCCCTGCTGGATCAGAGCAAAGGACCCTCCAGCCTAACAGTCTGTTCCCAGAAGTACCCAGCCAGGTGGTGGAGGGACAAAGCAAGTCCTGGTAGCAACAGCTTGCTGTTGTGGCTTGTTCCTCCAGCAACTGATATTCAAAGGTACACTGCCTCTGGGTGGGGAGGTTCGATTTAACTGGAATTTTTAAAAACAGTGAGGCAAAGGCATGTTTCTTTGTATAGCAAATTCCACTTGCACACTGAGAAAATAGGTGGACAATGCTATAAAAAAGAACATCCCGAGTTATCCATCCCAATTAAGTCAGAGCTTAATTAAGGTTGAGGTTCACTCCAGCTTAGGCCCAGAACCCATTTACAAATCCAGAGCTGAGCGCTGATTCAGGTGACTTAACAAGATGAGTGCCTCTCTGAACATGTGCAGAGTGCATTTCAGGAGAAGGCTGGTGGAATGGTTAGAATCTCAGGCCAGGACAAGGGAGACCTAGTGAAGTTCATTGGGTGAGCTTGGGTCACTGACCAGCTCACTCTTGCCTTCCATATAGGGTTACTGGGAGGATAAAATGGGGAAAAGGGTGGCCTGTATACAGTGCCAGCCAACTTGGATCCTACAACTGGCAGGTGAGGCTGCCCGGTTGGCATTGACCCAGGGTCTTTTCAGTGATGGTTCCCCAGATGTAGAATGCCCTCCCTAGTAAAGTACGGCTGTCTCCATCATTACTAACTTCAGGAAGAATTTGAAAACATACCAAGGCATTTGCAGGCTGAAAAATAGTATTCCTGGCAACCTTGTGATCGCTGGATGGAATAATGTCTTTAATGGCAGTTGCTTTTGGAAAATGTTTTTAACTGAAACTGTTTTTAACTTTAATTTTTTTCAAAATGTTTCAACTGTTTTAGAATCTTTCTGCTTTGTTTTTAAATAGTGTATCTGCGTGCTGCCCTAGGGTAGGGTAAATAATAAATAGCAAATAGAAGAAATAAATAGAACCTCCTTGCACCAACATCAGAGGCAACATTTATCACAGCAGAGTGTGAGGGCCCAACAGTTCTCCCCAGCCACACCAAAATGCAAGTGTTCTCCAAACCTCCCCCCACTTTGCTCTCCCTTCTTTTCCATGCACATTTGCCCCCTTCCTCAAGGTCGCCCCCTACCTGTGTGTGTCCGGATATGCCCCTGCAGCAGCCAGGGCCGGGAGAAGGCTTTACCGCAGATCTTGCACATGCAAGGCAGCGTGTGGGTGCGGATGTGCATCTTGAGAGCACCCAGGCTGGCGTACTCCTTGTCGCAGTGCTTGCAGTTGAAATACTTCCTTGCCGTGGTTGCCTGCAGCTTGCAGCGCTGCTGCCTGTGTCGGGCCAGGCCTGAGAAGGTGCTGTAGGCCTTGCGGCAGTCCGGACACTCAAATGTCTCCAGGGGGTCTGCAGCTATGCCTTGTGGCCCCTGCAGTTTGTCTCCATTTCCCTCTGCTGGGCTGCCCAGGTTGGGAGTCCTCCTTTGGAACAGGCTGAATGCCAACGGGAGATTGAGGTTGTTCTGGTTATCACGCAGAGGGGTGGCAGAGTCCCAGCTGCCACCAGGGCTGCTCCCAGAACCCACTTGGGAGATCGATGTGGGCTCCCCTTTGGCTTCACTGCTCTGTGGGAGAGGCGGGGACAGGCAGGCAATGGCAGAATTGTGGTCCCAGAGGCTACCAGCTTCATAGGGGGCTGCCGGACAAGGCGTGCCATCTTGACTGAGGACAGGGAATGCTGCCCCTCTCCAGGAGTGGCACAATCCACTGGATTCTGGGGGGAGACACACAAAACAAGTAAATAAAAAGCAGCCATTGTTCCTCAAAAACCAGACAACATGCCTACCCTGCATATTTTGGAAAATTGTTCATTCCCTGTGTCTGAAGCCCGGTTCAGATGCCCACCAGAGAAGGATGTTAGGCTGGCAAACAGGCAGGCATGAAATGTTAGGCAGGCTCCATACCTGGAACTTTTCAAACAGGCCTCTTTGTATCTTGGCTTACAGAAATTAATTGTGTTGTTGGATCCGACTTCGTGGCCTGGCCCATGTGATTGTATCATTCTGTGTTGTTGCTGTTGGATCACTAGTTTTTAATAATTTGCAATTGTTTTATTGAGATTCTTTTAGAAAATATAATCTACTGTATTTTTGTTCCTGAAGGGTGATATAGAAAAAGAAGTAAATAAAATAGTTGGTTTTAACTAAGAAGCATAAGAATATAAGAAGAGCCTGCAGGATCAGGCCAATGGTCCATCTAGTCCAGCATCCTGTTCCCACAGTGGCCACCCAGATGCCTCCATGAAGCCCATCAGCAGGATCCAAGCACAAGAGCCCTCTCCACTCCTGTGGTTTCCAGTAGCTGGCATTCAGAAACTTTGCTGCTTCCAATTGTGGAGGCAGAGGATAGTCATCATGGCTGGTAGCCATTGATAGCCTTTCCTTCCTCCATTAATTTGTCTAATCCTGTTTTAAAGCTGTCTAGGTTGTTGACCATCACTGCCTCTTGTGGTAGTGAGTTCCATAGTTTAATTAAACTCCTTTCCAGTATTATAAACAGTTGCATAGAAGTCTCTCCTCGAGGCTGCCTCACTCAAACATTTTGCATTATGCACTCAAAACACTGCAATATGCACATGCAGTGTACACACAGTTCCAGTAAAACATGCGTCATACGGGTGCAAACACCGCAGAAACACAATTTGCCCACAGTGCCATGTATCAAGCACTGGAATCAGTACACCAGACCCCAAGGTAACCTGGAAGCATTATTTTTAACAAATAAAACATATAATAGAATGCATTCAGAGAGATGCTACCTGTTGCAACCATGTCGCCATAGTGGTTAACTTAATAAGTTTTATTTCGCAAAATGAGCTTCCAAGAAGTGTGTAAGGGGGTGGGGGATCCACATTTGAGCCTTGCGTTGAAGTGCCAAGACGCTCACGAGATTATTATTGAGCTCACCCTTATGAATACCATAAAGCAAATACTATCCTGTCCCAAAGAGGCAACACTTGGCATTTTTAAAATATCTGCATGCCACCTCCTAATCTTGGCATTCTTTATCTGTGTACAAAAGGGTTCAATGCAAGGGTAGAGGGACCCTGGCTACCTAACCTGGAAAAGTTGCTGTTTGAGTGAAATCTACCCTCCAGGCCACCTTTTACACATCACACTTTACCACAAGGAGGACACTGGGAACAGCCCCCACCTCACCCCATGACAGCACAACAGGTTTTTCACACCAATGCTGTGACATGTTGCCCAACCTTTCCATGTGTCTTATTTATGCACAATACAGAACGTTCAGTTGCCAATAGATGCCACTAGCTGTGTGGAAACTTTTGACACCACGTAGTCAACTACACCACACACCCAGGGAAGCTATTTCGATGTGACAAAGGTACAGGATAAATGACTCCGAAACTCACCAAGTAGACATTCTCGTATAACCATGTACTGAAGTGTGTCTGGCAGCGAGAAGGAAAACCTCCTTTTGCCCTGGCATCCACTCTATGGATTTCTGGGGCTGGGCAAATATTAGGCACTCCCCACCCATTTTCTTCTAAAAATAATCTTAGCAGTTTAACAGTATTTACAGCAGAAACACTTTTTAGTGTCCTGGGGTTAACATATTCTCTCCACTGTTGGCTTTAATTTCGTAGATTTAGATTCCTCTTTCTGAACCTAAATGTTGCATTTATTCAGGCTTTCTTGTTGAGTGAGGTCTGGCTGTTGATATTTGGCCTACGATATTTCATTCGTATTATTTTTAAAACTGTATATTTTCCCTCCAAGCTGCCTATGTCGAATTTTCCATTCGACAAGGAATAACGGCAATTGCATACATAGAAATGTGAGATAGAATGGAGAAATAATCGCTGCTAGATTAACTTCATTTTTTTAAAAAAACAACCCTAATGTATTTATTATACAGTACTTGAGAACTCAGATGGGGTGGGTGAGGGGAAATAAACCGCTTTTAAAAACGGCGCGCGGGCCCCCTCCCCCAACACGTTAAGAAAAAAGCAGCCGGGTAAAAACGAAGGCCACAGTCCGAAACACACTTACTAGAGAGTCAAAGGAACTTACTTCCGAGCAGACACTTATAGGCTTGTGCTGCAAATTAGTTTCCTATTTCCAAGCGCACTTTAAGCAGCAAAAAGGACTCTAAAAACCAGTCCCCATCACGCAACCCTAGGCGGGCATAATTGGGACAAAGCCCCTGCGGAGCTGCCTTCTGAGTAAACAAGCGCAAGAGCGCGCCGCTCGGAGTTTGAAGCGCAAAAGGAAGGCGGTCGGAGGAAAATGTGGAGAGGGAAGGGAGACAGCCCGCTCCATAGACAGGGGCAGGGGATCGGGGCAAGGAAAAGCGCTCGAGGAGAGCTGCGAGAAGGGAAAGCTGGAAGGACCCGTCGTGGGCAGCGCGCTCACTGCCGCTTAGCTTTCCAAAGCGCGCCGTGCGCCCTGGGCGCAAACCATTTCGCCCTTCCTTACCTTGACGGCGCGTCTCCAGCTGGCCGTAGTTGGGGACGCGAGTGCTGGAGGGCTTCTTGACCAAGAAGGAGCGCGGCATGGCGAGCGGAGAGTCCCGGCAGAGCGAGCCGACCGGGCAGGTGCAATAAACCCGCGGGCTCATTAGCATGGGCTTCCCGCCGAGCCAACCGCCGGCCGAGGGGCCGTCCTTGGCCGCCTCCGTCGGGCCGCCCTCCCCGCGGCAGGTGCAAAGCCCAAGGGGCGGCCGCGACCACGACGCCGGGGAAGCCCCGCGGCGGGCTCGCTCGGGGCAGAGGAGGGGATCACCTTGAATCCTCCCGCTAGCTTCCAAGGTTAAGGTGTCCAAACTCCGGCTAGGCGAGGACAGCTTCTCCCGCCACCCCTCGCTTAAATGAAAAGCACGTCGGCCACTTGGTCCCTACACGGTGTGGTGCGGTCAAGTCCAGGGCTCGCTCAGCGCAGCAGCGGGGCTTTATCTGCCACGTCTGAAGTAGAGCCCTGCTGGGTCAGAGCAAAAGCCCATCCAGGCTTTCACAAGCCTAGGCGACAACCAGGAGCCCACAAACAGGGCAGGAGGGCAAGAAGAGCCTCTCCAAATCACCCCAGCAATGGTTATTCAGAGGCACAAGAATATAGTATAGGCCAGGTGGACCAGAGCATTGGCTCGGTATTGTCTACACCATGGGTAGGCAACCTAAGGCCCAATCACCTTCTAAATCCGGCCCGCGGATGGTCCGGGAATCAGCTTGATTTTACATGAGTAGAATGTGTCCTTTTATTTAAAATGCCTCTCTGGGTTATTTGTGGGGCATAGAAATTCCTTCATCCCCCCCCCCAATATAGTCCGGCCCACCACATGGTCTGCGGGACGGTGGGCCGGCCCACAGCTGGAAAAGATTGCTGACCCCTGGTCTACACTGACTGGCAACGGCCTCCCAGGTTGTCAAGCAAGGAATTTTTTCTAGCCCTACCTGGAGATTCTGGGGAGGGGATTGAACCTGGGACCATCTGCCAGCAAAGCAGATACTCTAGCCATTGAACCACAGCCCTTCACAAAGCAGGCAAGAGGGTTTTTGTTTCCCAAAGCAGCTGCCGTTGTCTGTGCACTTATCCCACTTGAGTGAGTAGATTTATTTTGGGGAAAGGGGCAGGTTTTGTGTGGATTCGAAAATCTGCAAAGTCTATTTGAATGCTGACAAAAGTGTCAGCAGGATAAAAGAAGTGTGCATATGGCACAAGAAGCAAGCAAGACCTCTCTCAAAAGACTTCCAGGGCCCTTTTGGAGGTGTGGCTATGCTAGCTGGGGGTGAGGAGAGTTGTCCAAACAGTGGAGGGCACCAGGTTCTAGAAGGCTGGTCTTATATCTATCTATGCAGGCGTAGATACATCTGCCAGCTGAGGACAACATTAATGCAGCAAACAAAAGTGACCACTCTTCCATAATGAAACTGGTGTGTTTTTAAGATGCCACAATGTTCCTTTTGAATTTTGCTGCAACAGACTAGCAGAGTCTCACCCTTCTGGGCTCATCTCTTCTGAGGACAGGGAATGAGCCAGGTGCAGTTTGGAGGTGCCTGCCCTGCCCCACTCACACTTCATTCCCACTAACTCCAAACAGCCACATCCCATCTCCCTACAGCAGCAGTGGGAAGTGAATGTGGCCCTACAGAGCTTTCCATCTAGCCTTCTGAAGTCACACCCCTCACTGGCCCAGGTTCACATCCTGCTTAAGTGTTTTTGCCTGGCTGGAATGTGCCCTTGAACTCAGATCAGGCCCCTTGCTTGTCAGGATGGACAGAAATGTGTGTAGAAATGGTACACTGCACATGCTCAGAGGCTACACATAATCTTTTTTGGGCTGCATGCTGGCTCAAGCTAAGCCCTGAACACTCTTATTTTTTCAGGGATGGTGATCAATTCTCTTCTCCTGCCTCCTTGGGCTTTAGCTTGTAAAATGCAGACCCAATCTTGGCCGAGTCAGATGGAGGCCTTCTTTCTACCCTGGGCCTGCTTATCCTCTGTCACCACCTCCCCACCCCACCCCCTGCCCCATTGCTTCACTGGGAGATCTCTGGGGCTTAGGAGATATTTGCAAACCCCTTTGAAGCATGGCAGTGAGATGGGGGTGAGATAAGCATTATCGGGAAGAGCTCAGCCCCATAAACTTACTCACCTGGTCATTGTGTCTCAGAATTCCTCCTCCTGCAGTTTGCTTGCTGGAGGATCAGTTGAGAAAACAGACAATTATGTGATCTTGCTCCTCCTTGACTGCCTTCTGCTACTGGTTTTCCCAGGCAGGCTGGGGCAGGGGAAGAGAGCTTTGTTTTTCATTTCAAATATATGCCAAAGGCCAGTGGTTAATTTTTAGGAGCAGAGGAAATGGGCCTATATCAAGTCAGACCATCAGGACAATTTACCCCAGCCTTTGGTGGGATTTAGTTGGCCTTCTTAAGATCCTTGGGTTATGAATGGCTGTATTCTGCTTTCTTCTTTATGAGGATTTTTTTAAAGAAATGTCAATCAAATCAGTTTGTTTTGGATGTAGGTTTCATAACATTTAACTGTGTTGCATCGATGCCTTAAGAGGATCTTTGTGAACCAGCCTGGGGCAGTTTGCAAGTTCCATAAGTGAATTAATCTAATGTTCACTGACCGGCAGCAGTAGCTCTCCAGGGTTTCATAGAATCATAGAATTGTAGTATTGGAAGGACCACAAGGGTCATCTAGTCCAAACCCCTGCAATGCAGAAAACTTTTACCCAACATGGGGCTCAAACCCACAACCCTGAGATTAAGAGTCTCATGCTCTATCAACTCAGACAGTCTTTCCCAGCCCTATCTGGGAACGTAGGGGATTGAACCTGGTACCTTCTGCATGCAAAGCACGTGCTCTAATCTACTGGACTATGGCCCCTCCAAACACCTTTTTTAAAGGTGCAGGTGTTTAAGCCTGGAAGCAGTGCTGCGATTATGGAGGGGACAGAGGGGGCCAGTCTCCATTGCCTTTTTGTGATGTCTGCTTTAGCTCTTGCTTGGAAAAAGCTACAGAGTGACATGATTTTCTAGATCCATTTCAGTCGGGGTTCAGGGCTGGTTTTGGCACAGAAGCTGCTTTGGTTGCCCTGTATGATGACGCATAACAGGAGAGAGCTAGGGGAAATGTGCCCCTGTTAATTCTCGTTGGCCTCTCAGAGGCTTCAGATACCATCAACCAAGATATCCTTCTGGATTGGCTTCTTTTTGTTTTATTCTGTATTTTGTGTTCTCATTTTGTATTTTTATGTTGTGAACTGCCCTGTGATTTTCAGACTAAGGGTGGTATACAAAATAAGAAAGTAAGTAAGTAAGATATTGCTAAAACTGGAGGGAGTCAGGAAGTAGGGTATGGGGGTTTCATTGAAGACACCTGCCTCCCACCCTCTCCCCAGAAGAAGAAGAGGAGTTTGGATTTGATATCCCGCTTTATCACTACCCTAAGGAGTCTCAAAGCAGCTAACATTCTCCTTTCCCTTCCTCCCCCACAACAAACACTCTGTGAGGTGAGTGGGGCTAAGAGACTTCAAAGAAGTGTGACTGGCCCAAGGTCACCCAGCAGCTGCATATGGAGGAGCAGAGACACGAACCCAGTTCCCCAGATTATGAATCTACCGCTCTTAACCACTACACCACACTGGCTCTCTTTGAAGCACTGCCCAGTTGCCTACCCCCTGCTACAGGGATGCTTGAGAACAGATGGGAAATAGCAAGGGTGAAGACACCCTGCTTCAGAGTCCTTTGACAAAGGAAGCCTTCCTTCTTCTGTCTATTGCCTGACTTTATAGTCTTTTTCATAGGTCTGATGTCGGGAAGGGCCATAGCTCAGTGATAGAGCAGCTGCTTTGCATGCAGAAGGTCCTAGGTTCAATCCCTAGCACAGGCATAGGCAAATTCGGCCCTCCAGATGTTTTGGAACTACAACTCCCACCATCCCTGACCACTGGTCCTGTTAGCTAGGGATGATGGGAGTTGTAGTCCCAAAACATCTGGAGGGCCGAGTTTGCCTATGCCTGCCCTGGCATCTGCAGAGAAAAGACAACCTGTCTGAAAATTTGGGGAGCTGCTGCCAGCCAGTGCAGGCAATACTGAGTGTGGGTTTGACTTCACCTGAGGCAGCTTCCTCTGTTCCTGTGAAGGCAGTGATTGTCATACATAGCAAACGTAATGAGCAATTGGTGCCATCTGCCTACGGCCAGGAGTTTCTGTCAAGAAGCTTTGAATACCACTCTAGCAATGTGTTAAGCAGGTTCTAGCGAAGTTTCCTCTTCATTTAGCAAAGGCCACTTGCTGCCTTTTAACATTGTCCTCCTAGGTTCCTTTTAGCACCCAGCTACGGAGCCCCAGGCTGCCTGCGCTGACCCCTCTGACATCAGAGCAACGGAGCGATGGCAGGCAGAGGAAGCATGACACCTCTTCTTGCCCAGGTCCCCAACCACATCAGAAAAGCCCACTAGCCACTTCCTGCCAGACAACGCGTGCGGCCTACACGACCTGTAAAGGTGCTAGTGCCACATTCGAACATTTGGTTCTTAAAGGCGTCATGGCATTTTCTCACTTTGATGACACTGTTACATTTCTAGAGTTTTGCTCCGTGAAGAGGCGGTATAAAGACAAAAGAATCTGCCTCGCAGGCACCTGCCAAAAGGTCTCATCTATGTCTAGCCCAAAGTGAGATGACTAAAGTTTTTGCCGGCAAATTCAATTCAGAGCAGACTCAATCAAGAGTGGGGTTATCTTTCTCCCATCAGAAAAGGACTGTCCCCATTTCAGCGTTAATGCAATCATTTCTTGCTTGGCGGATTCATCGCCAACGCCTACTGTTAAAAAAGGTCTGGTTTTTTCTTGTGTTTGTTTCCCTGCTCTGCAGGGAAATGTGACAGTTCCATATTCCTACCTTTAGCATTCCACCCCCCACCCCGGCCCTTCAGCTTCCATTGCCTGCAACTCATTTTCTCTGAATCGGGGTGTGTGTGTGTGTGTGTAATGGTTTGTGCATCTAGCACAAAGATGTCTGCAGGAAACCCTTAAGCAGGATCCCAACACAAGAGCACTTGTCCTGTGGTTTCCAGCAATGGGTATTCAGAAGCATTACTGCCTCCGACCAACCATGGTGGCACAGCATAGTCATATTGGCTAGAAGCCATTGACAGCCTTAAACTCCACGAATTTGCCTAATCCTCTTTTTAAAGCCATTCAGGTTGGTGGACATCACTGCTTCCTGTGGCAGTGAGTTCCATAGTTTAACTATGTGCGGTGTGAAGAAGCACTTTTTAATCTGTCCTAATCTTCTAGCGCGGGTGGCGCTGTGGGTTAAACCACAGAGCCTAGGACTTGCCGATCCGAAGGTCGGCGGTTCGAATCCCCACGACAGGGGGAGCTCCCGTTGCTCAGTCCCTGCTCCTGCCAACCTAGCAGTTCGAAAGCACGTCAAAGTGCAAGTAGATAAATAGGGACCGCTCTGGTGGGAAGGTAAATGGCGTTTCCATGTGCTGCTCTGGTTTGCCAGAAGCGGCTTAGTCATGCTGGCCACATGACCGGGAAGCTGTACGCTGGCTCCCTCGGCCAATAAAGCGAGATGAGCGCCACAACCCCAGAGTCGGTCACGACTGGACCTAATGGTCAGGGGTCCCTTTACCTTTAATCTTCTAGCATTTAATTTCATTG